CCTTACAGCGGAAATTGCCAAGTCGAAAATTTGATGCTATTGTTGTCTTTTTACCCACGTTGCTCAAATTTAGAAATTTGGTTAATTCTTGGTATTTTCTTTAATGGAATTGTTTTTCTGTGACAGACAAATTATTACACTAAACCCTTCAGGGTTGTCGCGGAGTCGAAACAGTTTTTTCTTAATGCTAATATTTTTATCATTTTCTTTGGTCACACACATAATTTTAAAACATTAAATTCTAAACCTTTAAGACCCAAGTAAATTGATTTTACTTTTATTTTTACACAGCGTATGCTGGAAAGAAGTTCTTGTTTCAGCCAATAGCCTTCAAGCATCTATGTTTGTATATGTGAATTATACATGCATGAGTCCATCAAAAATATATATACATGTGTTGTTATTCCCTGCAGTGATTTTTTCCGTCGAATAAGTACATTTTGTTAGTTATGTCGCGCTGACTATGACTTATCCCAAAGTTTTATTCACTTAAGTATGTGGTGTACTAGGAGTGGCTCGGTAAAAAATCACTTTCTTTAATTCAATGCTATTATATTCTTTTATTATTATATCCTGGCTTATAAAAATTCATAGTTTAATTACAATAACTTACCAAATTAATACACTATAATTTACTTAGCTGCCTCGAGTACTTTGCACATACATTAGAGGCAGCTTTCCTAAAAAGGCAGTTAACTTAATTTATTTTTTTCTTAAAAGTGAATCGATTTCATAGTAACATCTATTTTTTTTAAGTTGACAGTTTTTATTAACTTTATCACATCAATTTCAATACAGTTTATTGTATATATAAGAAAAACAAATAAAAAATCAACACATCTGATCATAGATGGCGCAGGTAACTTACATGATATTCATAGAAATTTGCAAAAAATTACTGCCGATAGGAGGCGCTTAAATGCAAAAGGCTGTTAAGGTTGATGCACTTAACGTAATTAATTTCATACAAAATTAGCTCTTATTGCAGCGAAAAGAAAATTTCAGGCAGCTATCTTCCCAATGCAGCTAAGTATCGAGGCAGCTAAGCAAATTATACTGTATATTAAAATATTCACATTTAAATTTATATTTAATAAGAGCTTTTTGCGCTGGGATGCTGCCAGCCAGTCATAGGTGAAATCAAAGACACTAAGACTTGGTTATGCTAACACTGTTAGTTGCGGAATAATTAAAGGAAAATTTCTTGATATAAGCATCGACTTAAAAACAATGATTTTCTACCGAGCCAACCTTAGTACACAATATACATACATAAGGGAGTACTAATTTTGTCAGCGCAAGAACACATAGAAATTAGTTAATTTGGCAGGAAAAACAACTGCATTGAATGTATGTTATATAACCGCACAAAAACCATAATTGCTTGCACGGCCCACATAAAGACGAAGCTAAGAGACATTGTATTTTGAGCGTTTTCTTTCTCAATAGAAAATTAAGCTGCATAGTAGCATTTTATTTTTTGGTGTTATTCATTTTAGTATTTATGTTGACTTTTCTTGAGAGACAATGGGGAACGCGATGTGTGCAAGTATATGAGCGAATTGTTGGCGTGTTCACAAACGATAAAATATTAAACTAAGTAAATCATTGTCAACAGCGACAAAGAACCAAAATGAAGAACGATGTACATATGAATCGGCATTGTCAAGCCGAGCGGACATAGAGTGAAAGGTAACTAAATAAATGGTATCTAGGTTGGAAGAGCGATAGCAAAGCTTATATTGTTAAGCGTTATCGGTTTTTTCTAATTTAATTAAATTGAATTTTAGTTCGTTGTTGTTGGAAAGGTTAGGTACCTAAGCGTTGGCATGTGTGCATTTAAAAGTTTTTGGACTTCCTATTCTCGCATACTTGCATATTTTGTATATGAATAGAAGCATTTATGCGCTTGTGTGCCTGTTGGTGCCTGCCTGTCCGATGCAAATTGGAACCCAAACAAAAACGAAGGCGACTTTGGACCAGTTGCACTGAAAACGCTAGTCCCTAGCATTTGCCGTTCTATCTCACGAATCATATGGATGAGAGTAAGGCAAAGCAGTTTCCTGTAGAGTGAGCGAATAAAAAGACAGCTATGCCGTTCTACGACATAGGTCATATGTATTTCTTACTCTCTTGCTGTGAGAGCATGCGGGCATGTCTCGAGCCCGAACAAAAACGAAGGCGACTTTGGACCAGCCGCACTGAAAACGCTTGTCCACAGCATTTGTACTGGTTGTCCAGTCTATATGCTAGTATATAATATTAGTAGTGGGACAAACTATGCCGCATTGTTGGAAAAATTAAAAATATTCCGAATATTTATTATAAAAGTAAGGAAAGCTAAGAAAAGGTTAAAATAAATCCAAAATGGGATATTTGTCCTTCGTTCCGGTTTTAAATGGAGAATTTTATCTGGTAAAGGCTAAATTGGCAACAATGGTCAATTTTGTACATTGACAACAAATCACCTAAAAAATAGACGACTGACCTTCATTTTTCCCTAGCCTCTCACTATTGGCAATGCAAAAATTGAAATACTATGGATCTGAATATACCATATGAGAGCACTGAGCATACAATATACAGAGGGTTCAAATTTAAAAATAATCGAATCAAGAATTCTAAATGCGAATGAGCCCCATGAGTGTTTGCGACCTTTTGTTATGCCCAGATGGAATAAGACTGCTGAAAGTGGCAGCAGAACGCCTACCCTAGAGAACCGAATGATCAATATCAAGCCGTATCTCGCTCAGTGCACAACGTTACTGCGGTTGATGTTTTTTCATAATATATGTATGTGCATATGTATGTTAGTTTTTAATTCCTTACATCCCAAAAAATATGTGTGTATGCATGTGCTGAGTGTGTCTCTCTCTCTCATTGTCTTGTGCACTTGTGCGCATCTCATTCTCCCTGCATAGCTTCTCAAAAAACCCCGAGATCTACAAACATTCATATGTATGTATTGTGTGAATGGGCGCACAAGTAGATCACGGAGTTTGTCGCGAGCCAGAGATATTTTCTTCATTTGGTTGACGCTACCTTCTTTTTTTGGTAGACCCTTTTGTGCTACGGTGGCAAAAGGTGCACACATTATTATGCTATATTATGTATTTCTTCGTCCAGTCAGACTAATGAACTGAATGTTTTTTTTTTATTTAATGAAAACCTAAATGACATAAATAAAATAATTATACTTTGTATTTTGATTTTGTTGTTTGCTGTGGTGACTTCTTTTGTTCAAAAAATAAAAAAAACTTAGTCGTTTCTGCAAGGGTAAATAATCGTCGACTTGTCGAACAATTCTAAAAATGACCAAAAATTTAACATTTTTAATTTTTTCCTTTTACTGCGGCGACATGATATCCATGAGAGCTGATAATATGTATTTTCTTTCGAATGACCTGGATTACTAGCTCTACTGGCAAAATACTTAAGACAAAAAAGAAGATATCTTCGACATGCCGACGATTAATTGCCCTTGCAGAAATACGACTTAGAAGTTTTTCTTTAGAAAACAACAAAATTATAATATAAAATATATCAAAAATGGTAGTAAGCACTCGCGTTAAAAAATCATGTTTCGATTATTCTAACCTCTACATATATATTGTATGGTTAGTGGTTCCATATATTGTATGATTAGAGATGAGAGTCTACATGCCAAATGTATGTAGAACATGTAGAAAAAAACAGATTTTTATCAATTTCATTAAAACGTTATCGATTTTTTTAACATATCTGATTCGTGCGATCAATAAAAGGTTGCTTCACCTTTCCAGCCTTTATGTGTTCGGGTATCGACGCGTTCATATATACGGCCATTCAGACAGACCAACCTGGCTAGATAGATTCGGTTGATGACTGTGTACTGAAGAAGAATATATTTATATATATATATATATACATATATATTATGGCGTCGGATATGCTTGCTTCCGCCTGTTATATACATTTGTACAAAATCGGTGTACACCTAGGGCTTATTATTAATATGTATGTTCAGGATCTAAATAGTCAGACTTTCAATCGCTGTATGCGGCTGATTACCTCTGAAAATAGCTAAATTTCCCAGAATTGGCAACACAACATTTAAGGGTCAACGACAAACATTTGATTTTCCATTATCAACCAAAGCAGGAATAAAAGGGCCACTGAATATTAAATACCCTAAAAAACATATGTACACATACTTTATTATTGCTTGTTTCGGTAAAAAGTCAATTGTACCATGATAATTAAAGGCCTTATTAACAGGGTACATTTCTTAACCGATTCTAACTGGTTGATTTTGTCTATATTTAACGTTTATTAACAGAGGCTAATAATTTTTTTTGTTTAAGATCGTGGAAAACTACGATTGTCTAGCATTTTCAGAGCCAGACAAACTACAAGTGTCATATATACCCATTAATTATTTTAAGCTGCACGAGTCTACATACCAAGTTTGGTGTCTCTAGCTGTGAGTCACGGAATTCAACACATTAAAATATATGGACACATAGGCAGTCATGGCTAGATCGATTGTTCAAACTGAGCAAGATATATACATATGTGTACATATGTATGTACATAACTAATGACTCGAAGATGTATCCTTCAGCCTGTTACATATGTACATTTGAACATAAAATAAAAAAATTTTCATATGTTATGTACATACGTACTATTGCACCTACAAAAAACGTATGCATGTAAACATAAGAATGTACACAAACATGCGCGTTAATAGCGCACGAACTAGGTTAGTACATTTTTATGCCAAAATGAAAATGTACCATTGTATGTACATACATACATACCATATAAAGTTAGATTTGTAGTAAAGTTACAAAGCTGCTCAAATGTTATAACTGTAAACTGCATCAACAAATTGAAGATATGGATTTCCCGCACATAGGCTAGGGCGCACATATACACATATTCATATAAATATGTAAGTATATTATGTAAAGAACAACGAACATCGATGTATCGAATATCACTAAGGCGATACTTACCGAGTTGAAATCAATGTTATTTTTTCGATGCATCACTTTATCGTGCGGTAATTCTTGATTGCAACGGGTTTGCAACGCTCTTACGAACCGAGTATGGTGTTTCACAATTAGTTTCATACCAGAGTACGATGTTAGACGGCTGAGGCAAAGATAATTTATATAAATACTGATCTAAGTAAAAGTATCAACAAAATGCTACTAAGTATCTTGTTTTTAACAAAATTGAGAACATAGACGAAATCGGAATCCTTACGCTCTCGAAACTTTGAAAGCGAAAATGGCTTACGCCGATGCTAATATAGATTTAATGTATTTTTTAAGCCGATGCTAATTTAATAATTTATTTTAATTACATGTTTACATATATGAATTTGTTTTGTTTCCGAACAAAAATAAAAGAGCAAACTTGTTCTAATTATACAATTTTTTTTAATTTATAATAATAATAGCAGATGATTCGCAAAACTTAAACAAAGGCACGCATAAAATTATGCATAATATCGTTATTGTTGCCATGGCGCTCCCACCCATCCTGTGGTGCAAATAATTTATTTGCATTTTAATTCCAGGCTGCAGATTGCACTTATCTCCTCCATCAACAAATTTAAACGACATATTTATTTTCATCAGGTGCGTATAATTGGACAGCTGACACCGAAAGTGGACCAAGGGGCGAACGGCAACGGGCGAGACAACGTCCACATCAACCGAGTGAGTCCTTTTCACAAAGTCAACCTCGCCCCGAGCAACAGGCGAAACAGGCAAACTAAAAATTTAGATAAAATTATTTTTTTTTTTGTTAGTATATATATATATATATATATATATATATATATTGTTCCATTAAAAAAGAAAAAGTTTTATAAATTGGGAAATACCTAAAAGGTATTGCATCTGTCCAGTAAATATAAAATCTTAAAATTTGGTTACCTGCAGGAACAATATACACAAACTTTACTCTACTACTAGGCAGGGTACTCTTTAGGCAGGGTAAAGTTGATTAAGCGATTTTAATTAGCTTCTGCACGGGTGTGTGTATGTTCATTCGTGTGGGTATCCTGCTCCCCATTGGTGCAGACAACTCACATGTAACTTTAATATTTGCTCTGGCGAGCGACAATAGCCTTTGGCAAGTTTCTCCGCCTGTTCCCGTTCGTGCAAAAAATTTGTTGAAATGTATTCTCTAAAGAAATGAAGCTTTAGAAATTAAGGTTTAATTTATTAGTCTTAACTGATACAAAGAATCATGTCCGGTTAAGTTTGTTGATGGAGGGGAGGGGAATATCCACGTCGTTCGGATAAGTGCCGTCTTAAATCTGAAATTAAAGGGTGGAGAAATATGAACAAATTATTAGCACCACAGAATGGGCGGGAGTGCCATGGCAACAACAGCAATGCCACCGATAAGCATCCGATTTATTGTTAGTGAGCCTTCGTAGTTTTGTTACCTTTGTTTTTGCGTAGTTTTGCCACTGGAGTCAGAGTAATGTGCAGATTTGGTGTAGTTATTGTGCGATTGCTTGTGACGGATATACCCACCCTTATGAGAGTACTGGCAGACCGGCGCAGCCCCTTGAATGACAAACCGACACGCCCAATTCGAAAATTTTGCAGGAGGTCAGCTTTGGCTGTATCACGGCGAAATTTGAAAAATATATAAATAAAGCACGTGACGATTGAATCTCGAAATAAGTTGTCTGTCGTTCGGATCATTCGATGGCCTCGACTTGACAGGAGAATAGTCTCACTGCAATTGTGCGGGCTGAGACTGATTGAAGGGGCATTCTAACAATTATCTGACTCATTAGAGGATAAATAAGAACCTGGTGGCTTACGCAGCTCAGAAGAGCGATGCGTACATAGTTCTACTGGGGTCATCGCTTTCTATTTTTTTTTTATTTGCCAACATGAACATTGCCTGGTGATAAATAGTGTTATGTAGGGATCTCTGAAAAAATATTGGGATATAGAGTAGTGTTAGGTTAGTATATTACTATAGCAGTGGAAATAAGTATGTTCGTTTTTTATACCCTGAACCCATTAAAAATGGGTAAACAGGGTATATTGTATTTGTGCAAATTTATGTAACAGGCAGAAGGAAGCATCTCCGACCCCATTAAGTATATATATTCTTGATCAGCATCAACAGCCGAGTCGATCTAGCCATGTCTGTCTATCCGTCCGTCCGTATGTATAAACACAAGGATATCAGAACCTATAAGAGCTAGAGACTTGAAATTTGATCTGTAAGTCCTCCTAATGCCCGCGCAGATCGAGTTTGTTTCCGATATTCGATAACTGGCCCAGTTTATAAGTAATCGATAAAAATTGATATCGAAATTCTGATTTTTGAGCAATTTCGGCAAATAATATGAGCTAGAGTCACCAAACTTGACATGTAGCTTCTAGAATAGTATATATATATATCAAGTATCTTTCATTTTATACGTATCGCCACCTCCCCGCTGCCACCGAAAAGCTATAAATCAAGTTAATTATCCAACTTGTATTGCCCATCACTTTAAGCCACAATTTAATTTCATTAAGATCGAATAAGAAATACAAAAGTTATGTGCGTACGTGTTAGCAGCATAGCTGCTGCGCAAATTCCAAGAATTTCTGTATACATGTACACACACATTCATGCGTGTTTGCTTTAAATTCTATCAACAGCATTGCAATTCAGATCGTATTGTTTTCTGCGCTTCTATTTTAATTGGTTTTTTTCTCATTAATTATTGGTGTGGCCCTTGAGTAGAGGCAGTGGCAAGTGGTGCGGTTAGTTGCGAGTTCGAACCCTGCCAAGGGAACAATTTTTTTGTTTATGTTCATTTATCTTTATTACTACTAAAACAAACGAGCGCGTAGCTCGAGCTGCATTTGGTGTTGGAAGTCGGGAGCTCCCGACTTGAACCTCTTACTTGTTTTTTTGTAGTTTTGTCGAGTCAAACAATCGTTTGTTTTCTTAGCCGTAGTGGTCATCAAGTCTACCAGGGCGTCAGTTTTGTCTTAGAGCATCATGAGGTTACTCTGCGTTGTACTCTATGTCCGGGTAGAATACGAGGATATCTCGAAAAAAAGCAAACAACAAGGATTAGTAGACGCGTGTAAATGATTCTCGACTGCCGGTCATCCACGAGAGGGATTACCTGAACAATGGACAATCAAACCTAGGAGACGGCATTCGGAAATTTAATGGCGTAGTTCCGATCAGATTGCATTCCAACCGAAACATGGCAATCCCTCCCCTCTTTAAGTTAATGTATTTTTTTTTAGTTGTTTTTTAAGTGCCAATCAGAACTCAAGAGTGTATTACATATTATTGTTATAAAGTTACAAATTGGTGAGCTTTGTTTTTTTTTTGTATGGAAATATTTTGACAAGTAGTTGTTATGTACCGAAATAATTTTTGGGTAATTGTTTAAGCGTTCAGTTGTGTTTTATATTTGCCTTCTTCGGATTAAGGTAGCATAAAAAATTAATTTAAATGGCTTCTGGCGGAGGTCAAAGTGATCCTGACATGAGTGATCGGATAACTAATACTAGCATGTGGAGTGAGGGCGAGAGTATGAAGCAAGTACCCCAGTCGCATCCGTTTACAATTTTCGGGCTCCATCGCACCCCGTTAAGGGGTAATGAAGAAGGGCATGCAGGATAGCAACCGCTACCGCCGTTGTTCCGCAGAAAAGTTCGCCGTGAATGTGGCGTTGGCTACGCCCAGGCCACCAATTTCGATCAGGGGGCAACACATTCTTGTAAGGTGAAGAAATGAGGAATTTCGTTCGACGGGAACAGCAGTCATAGTTCGATCGAAATTTCGTGTTCCGGATAGAGTTCCTCCAGCACCAATACGCATGCCCATGGAGAGAAATTCTAAAAATCTTTTTCACGATTTTGACTGGCAAGGCTAGGGATTGGTATTGGTTACATGTTAGGCAATCAATACTAGCATGTGGAGTGAGGGCGAGAGTATCGAGCAAGTACCCCAGTCGCATCCGCTTACAATTTTCGGGCTCCATCGCACCCCGTTAAGGGGTAATGAAGAAGGGCATGCAGGATAGCAACCGCTACCGCCGCTGTTCCGCAGAAAAGTTCGCCGTGAATGTGGCGTTGGCTACGCCCAGGCCACCAATTTCGATCAGGGGGCAACACACTCTTGTAAGGTGAAGAAATGGGGAGTTTCGTTCGACGGGAACAGCAGTCATAGTTCGATCGAAATTTCGTGTTCCGGATAGAGTTCCTCCAGCACCAATACGCATGCCCATGGAGAGAAATTCTAAAAAGTTTTCTCACGCTTTTGACTGGCAAGGCTAGGGATTGGTATTGGCTGCATGTTAGGCAATCAATACTAGCATGTGAAGTGAGGGCGAGAGTATCGAGCAAGTACCCCAGTCGCATCCGCTTACAATTTTCGGGCTCCATCGCACCCCGTTAAGGGGTAATGAAGAAGGGCATGCAGGATAGCAACCGCTACCGCCGTTGTTCCGCAGAAAAGTTCGCCGTGAATGTGGCGTTGGCTACGCCCAGGCCACCAATTTCGATCAGGGGGCACCACACTCTTGTAAGGTGAAGAAATTGGGAGTTTCGTTCGACGGGAACAGCAGTCACAGTTCGATCGAAATTTCGTGTTCCGGATAGAGTTCCTCCAGCACTAATACGCATGCCCATGGAGAGAAATTCTAAAAAACTTTCTCACGCTTTTGACTGGCAAGGCTAGGGATTGGTATTGGCTGCATGTTAGGCAATCAAGGTCGATAGTTGGCCTGATCTGAGAAGAGCGATGTTTGATAGGCTTCGTGGTCAGCGGTCTGAGCATGATTGGATGCATAAACTGCTACAGCGCGAGCAAAAGTCTGGAGAACGGACAGACGACTCCTTCCAAGCCATGCGACAACTAGCGTCTCGGCTACAGAAGCCTTTCTCTGACCGATATATTCCTAAGAATAATAAAGTCTAGAGGAAATGTTGCCAAGTTCGTATACGCGATGGACATATAAACAGTCGTTCAGTTGCGGGATAGCCGACCAGTCTATGCGGCTCCTCAACGATGTGGCGTAGTGCAAAAGCCAATGGGTGAATGAGCTAGAGGACAAGATCGAAGGAATCGGATGCTGGAACTGTGGGGAGTGTGGCTACGATTGCAGAGACTTTACATCCATTACAAATGTGGCTGTCCAGGCACCATTTCTCCCAAATTTCTAGAATGCTCGGGAAACGGTTGGGTGAGCGTGAAGAGACAGGGCGACTCACATTCGGGGATGCAGTCCGCCCAAAAGAAGGAATAGCTGAGTGGCCAGAAGAAGTTTGTAGGAATAAGTTTATAAATTTAATTAGGCCTTTAGCTACTGAAAAAAGATAGAAGAAAGACTTAGAAATAAGAAATAAGATATTTAATGCTAGGCAATTAGAAGGGATGCGAGTAGTGACACGCCGGATTAGGAATGCTCGGACCGCTTCCGTAGACATCGCCTTGTGAAGAAGCAGGCGCTAGACGCGGTCAGAAGATGCGAAAAAACCGACCCGCGTTTCTTTATCGAGGTACTCATGGGTACACATCGCATAAGAGGTCTCTTAGACACAGGAGAGAGCGTTAGTCTGATGAGAAAAGGAAGTAATTAAATTATTATTATTTTTATTCTCCAATTAACAAATAAAAGAGTTCAAAAAAATACATTTTAAATACTTAATTTAATATTTATATTTTAAGGGGCATAGTTATTGTGCTCCAATATTAAATGATAGTGTTAAAAAGCCAAATGTTAGCATCCCTGTCCCTACCTATGACCTATTTAAATATTAATTAAAAATTCTAATAGTTGGGAAATATTAATAATAAAGTTAATAATTAATCTTAAAGAAATTATATAAATATTTGCACCAACTTAAAATACTGATTTCCTACCAAACCAACTGTTGGATCAAAAGCGTTTTTTTGACCTTTTAAGAATCTTATCTCAAGTGGGCGTGTATGGATGGTATGAAGTTTTAATAAAGGTTTTACAAATTGATGAGCAACACGACTGACTTCTATGATGATGCTTACAGAACTGATTTCTTAACATAAATTAACATTAAAGGGACCGAGCAATTACAGAGTTCGAAAGAGAGCGAGACTTCGTACATGTGTATGAGTGCTTATGACATTCAAATAGGAGAGAATTAGCATAATCTTAACATAATCTGCTTTGACATTGCGATTGATACCCTGACTAATCTTTCAAGAGACAGGTAGAACAGCCAGCTAATGTACTGGCCGGCAACAGATTCCAGAGGCACTGCGAATATATGCGACACGAACCCGGTCATCTTTGCCACT